GATCACAGAAAAAAAACAACAAAGTTTTAAAGAGAAAAAAATCCCCCCAAAAATCAAATCATTTATAAGATAATAAATAAAAAATAAACATGGAAGACTAAAATATGTTAAATGAAAATAAGAATCCTGAACTTGATGCAATGACATGTTAATTACAGAGAATGACAAGAGGTCATTTAAAAAGCCACATAACCACTTAATCTACGACAAATTTAAATTGTAACGAACAGGCAGATGTAGTTATATTTGAACTTTAGTTGGCTTGAAGCTTGCGTGAACCTCCCATTCTTGTTTTTGAAATATTTGTTTGTATCAGTAGCTAATTCTCGGCTACATTTTCGTGTCAGATGTGAGCGTTACAGTTGGCGTTGCAGTTAATGAGAAAACTTACATACAAAAACTTATGGACATGGCTTGCTTCAAAGGAGCTACGTCATGATTTGCACATCTTGAAAAAACTAGCCTAGTTTTTCAAGTTCGTCATTTGCAGTCCTCGTTAATCTTTGCCATCCTTAACGATCCTCATTCCGTTTTGATTTGTTCTTGCCTCCTAATTGTTTTCTATCCTAGAACATGATCATTTTAAGGTTTTATTCTATTTAAAGGCAACTCTTTACGACCCTAANAAATTGTTGTTAGTATCAGTAGCTAATTCTCTGCTACATTTTCGTGTCAGATGTGAGCGTTACAGTTGGCGTTACAGTTAATGAGAAAACTTACGTACGAAAGCTTAAGGACGTGACTTGTTTTAAATGAGCTACGTCACGATTTACGCATCTTGAAAAAACTAGCGTGTATACGTAGTCTTTCAAGTTCGTCATTTGCAGTCCTCGTTAATCTTTGCCATCCTTAACGATCCTCATTCCGTTTTGATTTGTTCTTGCCTCTTAAGTGTTTTCTATACTAGAACACGATCATTTCATGGTTTTATTCTATTTATAGGCAACTCTTTACGACCCTACAAATGACTCTAAAAATCTTGACGTAACTCCTAAAATGTTGTTTATTCTCGGGTTGCGTTATCGTTCACACTATCGATATTATTCCTATAATTTTTTGTAAAACAGCTATATCTCCTTGAATACAAATGGTTTGTTTCGTTTTATTCCAGTGCGAAATATCGTATTCCAAACTCACGGTTTGTAAAAGTATAGACTTGTCTCAAAAACGGAAATTGTTCGAAATCATCAGGTGTTTAATTTTTTCTAGTTTTTGTGTTTCGATTTATACGTTCGTCCTATTATTACCATGCTGACTCGTTTTATGATAGTTTACCTTTGATGCAAGTGAATATCCGAAATATCATTTATCCGAAATATCATTTATCCGAAATATCATTTATCCGAACTGCGGAGAAAGATATGAAGACATGATTGATCATCGCAATTATACGCACAACTTAAGCAGTTGTGAAATTAAAGCCTGAAAAAAAAAAA